TAGAGTGCACCTGCCTGGTGGACAAGTTGGTCTTATCTCCTCACCGCACGCAGCTGTTTGACGAACAGGTGTTTCTTTGTTTTTTTTTTTTTGTTTTCTTTTTTTTCTTTTTTCTTTATTTGTTTTTAAATTCTTTTTGTTTTTATATCTTCTGCTCTCTAGGAATGGATTCATGTTATTATGATTTGTATGATGATCGTCTACATGCAAGCGAAGCGGGTGCCGCGTAAGCCTTCAAAGCAATAAACACACCAAAATAAATAAAAAAAAATAAATTAAAATAAATTAAAATAAATTATCGATGTATGTTGTTGCTGCTGCATGCACAGCGGCAAGAAGAGAAGCAATAAAAGAGAGGTGGCATGCAGCAGCATTTAAGGGGTACTGCTCCTGCAGCGAGCTGGAGGAGGCTCTGCGAGCTGTAAGTATATAATTTATATATTTATATTTTTTTTCTCTTTTCTTTCTTTCTTTCTTTCTTTCTTTTCCCCTTTTTAATTCATTTGTTTTCTCTCGTTGCTGCGGTGTACGTACACCTGAAGGTCCTCATCCTCCTCAACCACGACACCGCCGTCTCCGCCGCATTTGTTAATCTCAAGCGCTCGCTGCTGCAGCTAGAAGTCCTTAATGGTGCTGCAGCAGCAGCAGCAGCAGCAACACACTTCGGCTTCTCCTCCAGGAGCTCCTGTCCACCCAAATGAAATCTTCCTCCTGCTGCTGCTGCTGCAACAGCAGCAGCAGCAGCAGCAGCAGCAGCAGATACTTTGGGGTGTACGTACAGCTCCTGCACTTTACCTCTCTACTCACAATTAGTTGCAGCCGAAGAAAGCTGGAGAGCTGCAGCCAGCCCCGCACGAAGACGTACACGAACTCCCAGCAGCACCACCTGCAGCAGCAGCAGCAGCAGCAGCAGCAGCAGCAGCAAAGCTAGCAACTGCAGCAGCAGAAGTGGTGGGTGTGCAGCTGTCTACAGCGCAGCAGCGCAACTCGACGAAGCAGCAGCATTGCTGCTGCTGTCTGTACACTGCAATTGGTGGTTGCATGCAACAAAAAACACAAAAAGAAAGAAACTGAATTTATTTTATTATTCGTCTCTTTTGGTGGCGGGAAGACTCACCCCTTCCATCATACTCAGGGTTGTCTTGGGTAGTTGCTGCTGTGCAGCACGACCCCTGCTGCTGCTGCTGCTGCTGCTGCTGCTGCTGCTGCAGCTGCTGCTGCTGTAGGTATTGCTGCCGCAGGTATTGCTGCTCCTGTTGCTGCTGTAGGTAGTGCTGCTGCTGTAGGTACTGCTGTTGCTGTTGCTGCTGGAAGTGCTGCTGCTGTAGATGCTGCTGCTGCAAATACATCTGCTGCTGTTGCTGCTGCAGAAACTGCTGCTGCTGCAGCTGCTGCTGCTGCTGCTGCTGCGTGGCTCCTTGAGCGCAGCCTACGAAGGCCGTCTGCGGCGGCGTTAGATGGTCTCTATAGCGATAAGCAGCATACGGATCTTCCATACACTCAATCCTGCAGCAGCAGCAGCAGCAGCAGCAGCAGCAGCAGGAGTAGTAGTAGCAGCAGCAGCAGTAGAATGCATGCATTACTTATCTACATAAATATAAAAAAACAAAACATAATTACAATATATAAATAAAAAGAAATAAAAGAGGAATACTGTTATATAAATAAAAGCATAAATATAAACATATATATATATATATATATATATATATATATATATATATATATATATATATATATA